TACCTTCCTTGTAAATAATAAATAAGAATAAAAAGGGAAACTTAATTTGTCCGTGTTAATCGTATAATGGAAATTATTGTAATCAAGTGCGAACCCGACACATCAAATCGACGAACACCTATCAGTAATTGGGGGCATCACACGCCCAAATCGACAATTCAAACACCCAGACTTTTCCATGCTAAAACGACAATTGTCGGGATAGGATGAATGATCAAGAATAGACGAATTCTTACTTCTAGGGAATTACAAGAAAAAACCCAATTGAAGAATAAAGGCATTGCATGATGAGGACCCGCTAGGAAGAAAACCCGCATGGGGCGTTCTAGGAAAAAATTAGGGCAAAGAAAAAAGAATCAAAATCCCGATAGGATACATCCTATGCAAAAATTAGGGATACATAAAAATAAAAAAAAAGCAACGCCTGCTCGAGTTGAAAATCGAAAGGCAGTTTGAGTATTCCCTTTGAGAAGCAAGAATCTATAAAGGTTTCACTTCAAATTCAAAACACCGACGTTCAAGTAAGTGGGAATGTGTTCCCAAAGTAGTTCGACCAATCATCAACCATGAATCTCTAGGTGGCAACCTCCGTCTATCTCTCCGTGTACGAATCACGAACTCGGGGCATGCCCGGGCCTTCGAGCTTTGCTAAAGGGGCATGTGTAAATTGAAAGTACTATTTTAAATGCCATAACATTCTTTCATTTCTCTTCTACCTTTAAATATTCACTCTAGGCCTCATCCATTAACCCTTAATAAACAAGACGTATTTACGACAAAGATGTTACTCAATAATAGCATGGAAAGGATAACAAAGGAACAATCAGGAATCCAGAAATGACTGGGTTTAATAAAAATAGGGCGTCCCATACAAACGTTGCAAAAATGAAAGCTTGGTAGAAACCCACTAAGGGGGGCTACGTAAAATTAGGGCAAGATCCGCTAGGGGCTCACAATCGAAAAGGGAAACCTAGACAAAAGTAAGGATAAAAAAAAAAATTTCTGCTAGGAAACACATCCAAAGTAACCTAGGCAAAAGTTAGGACGTTAAAGCAGCGACCTGAGTTGAAAACCGAAAGGTGGCTCAGGAGGGATCATTCAATCAGAGCACAAGCCCAAGTCATCACTCCACTTTCCAAAAAGATTAAAACACAACGATAACTTCCTTGTAGTATATACGTTTTGTTTAATTACCCTAAACACCAAAGCCTACCTTGGCGAGCCATTCTTCTAAAAAACCTTTTTGGAAAAAACATCCATTCTAACAACCCTTCTGAAAAAATACAAACATCCCCTTTCTTCTTTTCTCTTGACCCTTATGGCATTAAAATGGTACCGAAAAGATACACGAAAAATGCACAGTAAATACTCGTAGAGGGAAGGCCAAGACGTCCCCGAAGGGAGTTTGAAGACGCTTGACTATACATCGATTAGATAATCAAGGAGCCACTAAAACCTTGAGTTCAAAAGAACATATCCCGGCGATAATCACAAACGGCATGGATAAAAAGGAATCATCAACATTATCCTTAACGCGCACAGGTTAATTTCCCAAAAAAAAAATTGAATTGCATGTTTAGGAACAAACACATGAGCATAAACTGCATCGCATGCATATGAGGTAGGGGCATATGGAAGGGCGTTACAAAAAAAAATGGAATAAATAAAAGAATCATTATTTTCTTGCATTTTCATTTCATCCATGCATCCATGCATTCTACTTGCTATGGGTCAGAAGGACTCATCAAGACAAAGCACTCATAAAATCTCAATAGCCAAGCATGAGTCGAAGCGGTGTCAAATGGCAACCCCAAGTGATTCTATATGCCCACTAAGCAAAGACATATCAATAGTGGAATAGAATAGAATCAACCAAATAAGCAAACCCATAAGCATGAGGAGGCCATCGCGCCCTACTCCTCAACTGAATGAAGGATGAGCCAAGAAAATACCAAGACTAGGAATGACTTCCTAACCAAATCCAGGAGTGGCTTCCAAAATAATACTCACCAATAAAGATTGAGCAAATAACATCATCATGGGATGAAATCCCTCCACCAATGATGACAACACAAGATAAAACAGAAAAAGGCAAACTTCGTAAATGTTGAAAAAGCCGAAGCATTTAGAAAAATAGCAGAAAAAGGCAAGCTTCAAACATGAAAGAGCCGAAGCTAAACAAAAATGAAATTCAGAAGAAAAAAAAAATCTATCAGAGGCAGACGCCTGGAGAGGCATGACAATACTCACATGACAAGGGTAGCACCAAAATCCCTGTCACCCATCTACTCATTTGCCCACCAGCACAAGGGCACCACCTACCAGTAATCCTTATCTTCATCAGATGTCCTCCCCAAAGAAAAGGGGCCATCACATCATCAGCACCAGCAGACGGCCTGGAGAGGCTATGAAAATACTACGGCCTGGAGAGGCTATGAAAATACTACGGCCTGGAGAGGCTACGAAAATACTACAGCCTGGAGAGGCTAAGAAAATATTACAGCCTAGAGAGGCTACGAAAATACTATAGCCTGGAGACGGCCTGGAGAGGCTACGAAAATACTGTAGCTTGGAGAGGCTACAAAAATACTGCAGCCTGGAGAGACTACGAAAATATTGCGGCCTGGAGAGGTTACGAAAATACTACAACAACAAAGAGGCTTACCTACCTTTAGAAGAGGCCGGCTGAAGCCTAAAAATATTAGTCCAGCTTGGAGAGGCTACGAAAATACTCCCTCTTAAACAAGCTACAAATAAAGGGACACAATATCACAAGAGAAATAATGGAGCTTCTACTCGAAGACTGAAGATCAGGTGTACAGTTTGTCAGCCTTGTTACCCAATAGAGTACACAACCAACACTCAAATGCTCTAAAAGGTAATAATACGAGCAAATACACCTATCCAAGGGAAGCAACATAGAAGCGTCACACAAAGAGACAAAGAGAAGACCCGAACGAAATGTCTACGTCTTTACTTTCCTTTGTGAAAGCAACACACAACTATTCCAAAGGACAAGTAAAGAGGGGCAGCTGTAGACACCCAATTTCGTCCGGGGGGCATACAAACAAAGAAATGGACGTCTATTATAAAGGAAAGGAACTCCCAAAGCAAGAAAATAACAAGATAGGACATCAGAGGGCCGAAAGCCCAAAATAACTATTTTTAGTGGCCCGGAACGGGCTATTCCAAAATCGGAACATGCCGTTCCCAAATCTGGAACAGGTCATTCCTAAATTGGAACGGGCCGTTCCGAGTCACCTAAAAGGCTTAAAGACTCTTGGTTGGAACGGGCCGTTCTAAACCAATCAAAAGGCCTAAAAAAACTTGGTCTGGAACGGGCCGTTCTTAAACCAGAACGGGTCGTTCCAAACTGTTAAAAAGGCCTAATAACCTAGTTTGGAACGGGCCATTCTAAGCAAGGGAATATAGTGTTAATCTCAACTCCGGAACGGACCGTTCTTAGTTCAGAACGGGTTGTTCCCAGGTGCGTGATTAACACACAACGTTCGGATCTAGAACGAGCCGTTCCGGATTTGGAACGGGCCATTCTGGCTACTTTCTAATGCCTATAAATAGACAGCTTGGGTACAGTTCTCAAGGCCTCAAAATTTTTTTCTAGGACTCCTTACAGCTCGAAATTTCTCTCTCTCTCTCCTATTGTATTTCTTGAGTATTATGAGGCAATTGTAGTGTGAAAGGTTGCCACAAAGCACCTAGATTTTCTAAATTTGAAGATCTAACAAAGTTTGCCACGAGGTATTTCATTTAATCTTCTTCTCTTTCTTTTATTTCTTATTTTTTTGTTATAACAAAAGCATTCATATAGACGTTTTAGGGTCAACACTAGTGGAAAATCAGCATATTATGTCACCCCTTTTACGTCGGAAATACGAAAATCTGACGTAAAAAAACGCGGTAGCATTTTTGTAATTTTTGCCAACTTTTTTACGTCAGACCTGGTAGGGTCTGACGTAAAAAGTCAAATCTACGTCGGAGGTACGTTGTGTCCGACGTAGATTTGACATTTTACGTCGGACCCTACCAGGTCCGACGTAAAAAAGGACGCAAATTTGAATAAGAGAGCGCGAGGCATACCGCGCGCATTCACTCTTCATCACTTTTCATTTTTTTCTCTGTAAACCCTCTCCCTCTCCTTTGTTACTGAATCGTTTTTTTGTCTTTTGCAGAAGGATGAACTCTTTGTTACTCATTCGCACATTGTTGCTGTTCTTCAAGTATGAATCAAGGTTTCGTTAGCACTTTTCTATTTCGCATTTCTACTCTGACTATCTATTTTATTCGATTTTTTGGTTGTTTTATTTGTATAGGTAGTGGGCGTTTTTTTTTGGGTAGTTCTCGAAGCAGAATGGCTTGTTCTGCAAGCAGAACGGCCTGTTCTGCAAGCAGAGCGGTCTTTTCTGCTTGCATTCTTATGTTTTTTTTTTGTTTTTTTTTTTACTATTTTTACGTCGAATTTCGTAATGTCCGACGTAAATTTACGTCAGTTTTGTAGGTCTGTCATAAAATTTACGTCTCCCGCTTTTACGTCGGTATGTTTTCTGACGTAAAAAGCTCAAAATACCCGACGTATAGTACACCTCTTTTGTACTAGTGAACCGTGTAATTTAAATTTCAAGCATGTAAATAGTAATTCATAAAGAGGATCTAATATTTAATTTATTATTTCTTATCACATTAACTTCATCATAGGGTACCGATTGAGGGCGCTGTAGGGGTGCTTAATACCTTCCCTACATGTAATTGACCCCCAAACCCAATTTTGGTTATCAAGGCCATTATTGAATTTATAAAAACCTTTTCTTTTTCCAATGTTTTGAGTAAAACATTGGTGGCGACTCCAAGAACCTATTTTCAAAACCATTAATTAAGGATTAGTCTGGTGTCCAGACATTCCTTAATTGATGAGATCTTTAAAAGGATGTCTAAATCATTAGCCGCGAGATCAGAAATTTTCGGGGTCCAAGCTAGCATGACACCTCTATGACAAAAAGAATTCCACCGGTAATAGTAAGATTAATTTTTACAACAAACTTAGAGTTCTAGTACCAATGGCCAAACAAATTCAAATGCAACTTTGCAGCAACAGAAGTTGGAAGCTGGAAGATAAGTACAACAAAAGCAATCATGACAAAAAATATATGCAAGGTACGACCATCAATATTTAGACGTAATATATGTTCATTCTTGATAGCACTACACAAGGGTCTAGGATATTATGACACAAATTAAAAAAACTGTCATGAGTCCAGAAGAGAAAATATAGCACAATGATTTATGAATAATGACTATACCCATAGAAAGCAAGACGAAAATTTCTACTGGTTGTTGAGATTAAACCTGAGCATGGTACCAAGTTGTGGGCAAAAGCTTAATTTTTGTATTTTGGGAGAAATTACAATTCAAATTCATCTTCAAGCTTCAATGCCTCGGCGGCAGCCTCTTCCTCTTCGTCGTCGATGACAAAACAAGGATTATGAGCCTCTGGCTTGAACTTGTATCCAGTAGAGGTATAGAAAGCAAGCGTGGCTAACTCGGCAGCAACAACACTGGTCCAAGAATAGCGATAGGAGGTTATGGTCTCCAAGGCATAAACGACAACCCTGTTGAAGTAAATGTAACAGATAACGACATAGTAATGACCACTAGTTTGGGGCTATATGAGGTTTGTTGTGTGGTTAATAGGTTTAAGGTTATATACAACTCACAGAATAAAAGGATCCTTAAAAGTTCTATAAATCGGATCCTTAAAGTTTTGTGTGAAACAAAACAAAAAGGACAACATACTAACATCTCAAAACATCATGTCACCAAACAACACATGATATGTATAAAAGAAAAAACATAAAGTATTACAATGTGAAGATAGCTTAAGAGAAAATTACTGGAGTGACCTAAGATTAGGAACAAAATATATACTTTAAAACACGGTTGTTAAATTTTTAATTTTTTTAATTCAACTTCCATCGTTGTAAGACAAATGAAATTATGGTGTTAACCATTCATGTTCTGTGACGTACTTGATTAACAATATCGTGTTAATTGTTTATTTAACCAAAATAAATTATTGTGTTAATGTTAGTAGGTAGTCTTTCAAAAAAAAAATATTAAAAAACTGAATTTTGGAGTTTTAAGATTACAAAAATTGACAAGTCTAAGCTTCCCTGGTTTAAAGAAAAACTGAATTGAATTGAGTAAAAAAATATAGAAAAAGATAATTCAAATTAAATATGTTAACATATAATTAAAAAACACAAAATTAAATGTTCTAAATGGATCAATGTATAGTTCAATGAGAATTTTCAAAATTATATTAAATGAATAATATACTATATTATAAAAGTACTAGCATTTTAACATGTAATGCACATACCCAATTTTATTATATAACAATTTATAATATATTATATCTATAAATAAATATTATATTTGAATATATAAATTATATTTAAAATTTTTATAAGTAGATATTTTATAATATATAAATTATATTTTAATTTTATGATAAATAATTTATATTGTAACACAAAATTATTTTTAGGTTTGAATATGTTTTTTAGTCAATCAAATTTAGGGTAAATTTTGTTTTTGATCCCTCAAATTTAAAACGGTTGTTTTTAGTCCTATAATTTTTAAAACTTTTGTTTTACTCTCTCATGTCACCGATAACATATTTGAAAGTGACAGATTCAGACGATTATGCATCACCAACTAGGTTTAATGTGATATTTTCACTAACAAGGACATCAATAAGTAAATTTTATGTGATAGTATTTGAGTATGGGAACTAATATTTTTTTTAAATTACAGGGATTAAAAAGATCAATTTTAAATTTGAAGGACTAAAAATATATTTAAACCTTATTTTTATTTATTGATAATTTATTTTAAAATACTAAAATAAAATTTATAAATAATTATGATAAATAAAAATGAAATTAAATAAGAAATTAAAAGATCCCAATGAAGCCTCTCATCAAAGAAAAACTACTAAAAACACTCTCACTTAACAAAGTTGTATTTAATATATAAGGGTTGATATAAAAAATTTGAAACTCTATTATTACAAATATAAAGTAAAATATATATTTTATAATATAAATTAAATTTAATCTCAAACGATAATAATGATAGCAAAAAATTACAATTTAAGAAATATTAATATTTTAAGTTGTGTATTACACAATCATGTTTTTTATTATATAATTAAAATTTATAATAAATTTATGTATATAAATATTATATATGAATATATAAATTATAAACTAAATAGTTGGATAAAAGTGGTTAATATACTAAATTCAAGTTCGAATTATTCAAATAATTTCAGAGTTCAATCCTTAGTTACCAATTACTTATAATATATGTGTACTGACCGCATTTCGCATCCGGGCTCTGAGCCCGGATTAGCGAAACAAAGGTCATACCGGGCACGCACCGAACAATAACAGCCCGGAGCCCGGGCTAATCACACCGGAACCCGGGAATCTCAGGCCCAAGGCCCAAAGCAACCCTAAATCACCTCAAGGTACGTACATTATATATATGAGACTATTATTCGTGCAAACCCTAACTTTAGCATCGGAGTCTCTTTTGCAGGTACCACCCCCATCTTGGAGCACCAGCGTACCAGTGAAGGAGGCTCGCCGATCTTACCCGGCGGATCAGCTCTACAGCAGATTTTCGGTAAGAACATTTGGCGCCCACCGTGGGGCCGATCAGACCAAGCTCTCATCGGCTACCCGCACGGTCCGTACCAGGAACCGTATCAGACGAGCACCTAAGAAAAATGAGCAATGAACATACAGCTTCGGGAGACTCGACCCGCGTCACCAACCTGACAATCCTAAAGAGCGCAACTGCCCGCGCTCAAACCCAATGGCGATACCCTGATCGTCCCTACGCCTCACCACTCGACCCCGGCGAGACAGTCCAGGACCTGGAAGGCCGGGGAGCAAGGCCTAACCCCCCAAACCAATTAGTAAGCACAATTGCGGGCGGCTTCGCAGGGGGCGGCGCCAGCAGCTCGTCCCGGAAAAAACACCTACGTAAAATCAACCGCGTGCACCCCCCCACGCATACGGTACACCGAGACTCGCCCACCATATCTTTCACCAACGACGACTATGTCGGAATCAATCCAAATCAGGACGACCCCATGGTCGTGACAGTAACTTTAGCCAATTGGGAAGTTCACAGGACCCTGGTCGACCAGGGAAGCTCGGCCGATGTCCTATACTGGCCAACATTCCTCAGGTTAGACATCCCCCACTCTCTCGTACAACCTCACACCGAACCTTTGGTCGGTTTTGCAGGAGCAACCATCCACCCCAGAGGACGAGTGGACCTGTTAACGACCTTCGGGACACCGCCGACCTCCCGGCAAATCCTGGTTCGGTACCTACTGGTGGAGGCCAACTCCACCTATAACGCCATCATCGGTAGGTCAACCCTAAACCAACTCGGGGCGGTCGTGTCCACCCCGCATCTCACCATGAAATTTCCGGGGCGCGACGGAAAAATCATCTCCATCAGAGCGAACCAGCAGGACGATGCCTATAAATAGATAGCTTGGGCACAATCCTCAGGGCCTCAAAAATTTTGTCCTGGACTCCTTAGAGCTTGAAATTTCTCTCTCTCTCTCTCCTATTGTATTTCTTGAGTATTGTGAGACAATTGTAGTGTGAAAGGTTGCCACAAAGCACCTAGATTTTCCATATTTGAAGATCTAACAAAGCTTGCCACGAGGTATTTCATTAATCTTCTTCTCTTTCTTTTATTTCTTATTTTTTGGTTATAACAAAAGCAATCATGTAGACGTTTTAGGGTCAACCGTGTAATTTAAATTTCAAACATGTAAATAGTAATTCATAAAGGGGATCTAATATTTAATTTATTATTTCTTATCACATTAACTTCATCATAGGGTACCGATTGAGGGTGCTGTAGGGGTGCTTAATACCTTCTCTACACATAACCGACCCCTGAACCCAATTCTGGTTATCAAGGCCATTATTGAATTTTTAAAAAACTTTTTCTTTTTCCAATGTTTTGAGTAAAACATTGGTGGCGACTCCAAGAACCTATTTTTAAAATCATTAATTAAGGATTAGTCTGGTGTCCGGGCATTCCTTAATTGATGAGATCTTTAAAAGGATGTCTAAACCATTAGTCGCGAGATCGGAAATTTTCGGGTTGCGACAGATGGCGACCCCACTGGGGACGTTTAAAGAGGGTCAAACATATACAAATGATGAAGTTAATAAAATAAAAAATAATAATTTAAATATTTTTTCCCTTTACTTTGTTTGGTTTATTTGTTTGGCTTCAATATCTGTTTGCCTGTTTAAATTCTACACATGTTTGAATAAAAGTTGTACATATAGCTTTGCACACAACAGTTTCCCCTACACCTGGGGGCATGAGGGTATTAAACATAGGGAGTGGTTGACGTACGACC